TCACTGGGATCACTGGGAATCACTGGGATCACTGGGAATCACTGGGAGTCAATGGGATCACTGGGAATCACTGGGATCACTGGGAATCACTGGGAATCACTGGGATCACTGGAATCACTGGGAATCACTGGGATCACTGGGAATCACTGGGATCAATCACTGGAATCACTGGGAATCACTGGGGATCACTGGGGATCACTGGGATCAATCACTGGGAATCACTGGGATCACTGGGATTCACTGGAATCACTGGGAATCACTGGGATCACTGGGAATCACTGGGAATCACTGGGAATGACTGGAATCACTGGGAATCACTGGGATCACTGGAATCACTGGGAATCACTGGGATCCCTGGGATCACTGGGAATCACTGGGATCAATCACTGGGATCATTGGGAATCACTGGAATCACTGGGATCACTGGGAATCACTGGGATCAATCACTGGGATCAATCACTGGGAATCATTGGGAATCACTGGGAATCACTGGGATCACTGGGAATCACGGGGCAGCCAAACCCACTCACTCATTTTTCCAAGGAAAACCCCGGCCCCACTCCCTTCCAAAAAAAAGTTTATTTGGGATTCACCTCGTCGGAAATGTCCAGCGTTGGGGGGTGGTGGTGGGGAAAGGAGGGATTTGGGGGAGAAATCCAAGGAAAACCGGGAAAAAGAGTCGGGGAAAACGTGGCATCGATGGATCCCGGCCTGCCCATCCCAACCGGGGTTTGTGGGGTTTCCATGGGGGGCTGGGAACGTCGGGAATGCCGGGAATTCCATGAGCTCAGCCCCGTTCACGCTCGGGCGGCCCCGATCCCGCTGATCCGGGGGGATTTTCATGGATGAGCAGCGGGAATGGGGCTGGAGCTGCCGCTTTCCCGGGATTCCCCAGCCCAGCAGGTCCCACCCGCCCGGGAAAAGGGATTGGAGCCTTTGGGATGATCCTGGTTTGGGATTGGCGACCCCAAAAGGGTCCCGTGTGCCAGGGATGGGGGTTGGGAAACCTGGGACGCTCCTGATTTCCCTGGATGGGGATTCCCAATCCCAAAAAATTCCTGCTTTCCCTGGACAGGGATTCCCAATCCCAAAAATTTCTCATTTTCCCTGGACAGGGATTCCCAATCCCAAAAATATCCTGATTTCCCTGGACAGGGATTCCCAATCCCAAAAATATCCTGATTTCCCTGGACAGGGATTCCCGAACCCCCAAAAATTCCTGTTTCCCTGGACAGGGATTCCCAATCCCAAAAAATTCCTGATTTCCCTGGACAGGGATTCCCAATCCCAAAAAATTCCTGCTTTCCCTGGACAGGGATTCCCAATCCCAAAAAATTCCTGATTTCCCTGGACAGGGATTCCCAATCCCAAAAAATTCCTGATTTCCCTGGACAGGGATTCCCAATCCCAAAAAATTCCTGCTTTCCCTGGACAGGGATTCCCAATCCCAAAAATTTCTCATTTTCCCTGGACAGAGATTCCCAATCCCAAAAATATCCTGATTTCCCTGGACAGGGATTCCCAAACCCCAAAAAATTCCTGATTTCCTTGGATGAGGATTCCTGACCCTAAGGAGCTCCTGCTTTTTCTCTGTAGGGATTCCCAATCCCAAAAATTTCCTGATTTCCCTGGACAGGAATTTCTGACCCTGAGGAGCTCCTGATTTCATTGGATAGGGATTCCCAAATCCCAAATAATTCCTGATTTCCTTGGATAGAGATTCCCAACCCCAAGGAGCTCCTGCTTTTTCTCTGTAGGGATTCCCACTCCCAAAGAGTTCCCGATTTCCCTGTATAGGAATTCCCAATTCCAGGAAGTTCCTGGTTTCCCTGGATAGGGTTTCTGACCTTGGGAAGTTCCCGATTTCCTTGGACAGGGATTTCCAATCCCAAAAAGTTCCTGACTTCCTTGGACAGGAATTTCTGACCCTGAGGAGCTCCTGATTTCATTGGATAGGGATTCCCAAATCCCAAAGAGTTCCTGATTTCCTTGGACAGGGATTCCCAATCCCAAAAATTTCTCATTTTCCCTGGACAGGGAATTCCCAATCCCAAATGTTTTCCTGATTTCCTTGGACAAAAATTCCTAATCCAATTCAGCTCCTGCGTTCCCTGGACAGGGATTCGCAATCCCAAGGAGTTCCTGCTTTCCCTGGATAGGGAATTCCAATCCCAAAACATTCCCGATTTCTCTTGATATGGAATTCTGGCCCCAAGGAGCTCCTCATGTCCCGGGACAGGGAATTCCCAATCCCAAAAAATTCCTGATTTCCCTGGACAGGGAATTCCCAATCCCAAAAATATCCTGATTTCCTCGGATAGGGATTTCTGAACTTGGGAAGCTCCCACTTTCCCTGGATAGAGATTTCCAATCCCAAAGAGTTCCCAGTTTCTATGGATAGGGATTCCCAATTCCAGGAAGTTCCTGATTTCCCTGGACAGGGAATTCCGAATCCCCAAAAATTCCTGTTTCCTTGGATAAGGATTCCCAATCCCAAATAATTCCTGATTTCCTTGGATGAGGATTCCTGACCCTAAGGAGCTCCTGCTTTTCCTCTGTAGGGATTTGCAATCCCAAAAGATTCCCGATTTCCTTGGATAGGGAATTCCAAATCCCAAAAAATTCCTGATTTCCTTGGATAGAGATTTCTGACCCTGAGGAGCTCCTGATTTCATTGGATAGGGATTCCCAAATCCCAAATAATTCCTGATTTCCTTGGATAGAGATTCCTAATCCAAATCAGCTCCTGCATTCCCTGGATAGAGATTCCCAATCCCAAGGAGTTCCTGATTTCCTTGGACAGGGATTCCCAATCCCAAGGATCTCCTGCTTTCCTTGGATTTCTGAGCCTTTCAGAACTTTGGGATTGGCTGGGATTGAGGGAGCTGCAGCTCCCATTGGATGGAGAAGGAAATTCCCAAGAATTCCCATGGATGGAGAAGGAAATTCCCATGGATGGAGAAGGAAATTCCCAGGATCAAATTCCGATGGAGACAAAGATCCCACCCCCAGGATCCTTGGAAAAGGGATCAGCACCAGGATATTCCCACCACATCCCAAAATCCCCCTCATCCCAACCCTCTCTTTTCCCAGGAATTCGGTTTTCCTTGGATTTTTCACCCGGGAGGAATCAGGGCTGTAGTGTTGGATGAGCTGAGGAATTCCATAAAGGGAAGGAAGAGGAATTCGGGGAAATTCAGGTTTCCCGAAAAACCTCTGGGATTGGCAGGATCCCCCTGCGCAGCTTCCATAGGGAGGAATTTTGGGATTGCAACTCGGAACCCTTCACTTCCAGCAGGGAAAATTCCATTCCAGAAAAATCAGGGAAAATCCCATTCTGGAAAAATCAGGGAAAATCACATTCTGGAAAAATCAGGGGAAATTCCGCTCCGGAAAAATCAGGGAAAATTCCATTCCGGAAAAATTCCGCTCTGGAAAAATTCCATTCTGGAAAAATCAGGGAAAATCCCATGCTGGAAAAATCAGGGAAAAATCCCGCTCTGGAAAAATAAGAGAAAATCCCATTCCGAAAAATCAGGGAAAATTTCATTCTGGAAAAATCAGGGAAAATCACATTCCAGAATAATCAGGGAAAATTCCATTCTGGAAAAAATCAGGGAAAATTTCATTCCAGAAAAATCAGGGAAAATCACATTCTGGAAAATCAGGGAAAATCACATTCTGGAAAAATTCAGGGAAAATCCCATTCCAGAAAAATCAGGGAAAATCCCGCTCTGGAAAAATCAGGGAAAATCCCATTCCGGAAAAATCAGGGAAAATTACATTCCAGAAAATCAGGGAAAATCCCATTTTGGAAAAATTCCATTCCGGAAATATCAGGGAAAATCACATTCCGGAAAAATCAGGGAAAATTCTGCTCTGGAAAAAATCAGGGAAAATCCCATTCCAGAATAATCAGGGGAAAATCCTATTCTGGAAAAAATCAGGGAAAATTCCATTCCAGAAAATCAGGGAAAATCACATTCTGGAAAAGTCAGGGAAAATTTCATTCCGGAAAAATCATGGAAAATTCCGCTCTGGAAAAATAATGGAAAATCCCATTCCAGAATAATCAGGGAAAATTCCATTCCAGAAAAATCAGGGAAAATTTCATTCTGCAAAAATCAGGGAAAATCACATTCCAGAAAAATTAGGGAAAATTCTATTCTGGAAAAAAAATTAAGGAAAAATTCCATTCCAGAATAATCAGGGAAAATCCAGTGCAGCTCCCAATCCTAAAAATCCTCTGGAAGCAGGAAAATCTGATTTTCCCATTATTGATTTTCCATAATTTTTCCATGCTTTTCCCATTATTGATTTTCCATGTTTTTCCCATTATTGATATCCCATTATTTTTTCATGATTTTCCCATTATTGATTTTCCATAATTTTCCCATAATTTTTCCATGCTTTTCTCGTATTTTTTCCCATTATTTTTCCCAAGATTTTTCCATTATTTTGCTGTGATTTTCCATGATTTTTCCATGATTTTTCCATTATTTTCCCCCAAGATCTTCCACGATTTTCCTGTGTTTTTTCCATTTGTTTTTTCCATGATTTTTCCATTTTTTTCCTGTCATTTTCCCATGATTTTCCCATGCTTTTCTCACTATTTTTCCATTATTTCTCCCAAGATTTTTCCATTATTTTCCTGTCATTTTCCCATGATTTTTCCGTGCTTTTCTCATTATTTTTCCCAAGATTTTTCCATGATTTTCCTGTGATTTTCCATTATTTTTCCTGTGATTTTTCCATTATTTTCCTGTCATTTTCCCATGATTTTTCCCAACATTTTCCCATTATTTCCCTGTGATTTTTCCATGATCTTACCATTATTTTCCCAAGATTTTTTCCCATGACTTTCCCATGATTTTTCCATGATTTTCCATTTTTTTTCCCATAATTTTTCCAGGATTTTTCTGTGCTTTTCTCATTATTTTCCCATTATTTTTCCCAAGATTTTTCCATGATTTTCCATTATTTTTCCTGTGATTTTCCCATGATTCTCCCATTATTTCCCTGTGATTTTTCCATGATCTTACCATTATTTTTCCCACGATTTTCCCACGATTTTCCCATGATTTTTCCATTATTTTCCTGTCATTTTCCCCATGATTTTTCCCAAGATTTTACCATTCCTTTCCTGTGATTTTTTCCATGATCTTACCATTATTTTCCCAAGATTTTTCCACAATTTTCCATTTTTTTCCCATGATTATTCCACTATTTTCCTGTCATTTTCCCATTATTTTTCCGTGCTTTTCTCATGATTTTTCCCAAGATTTTTCCATGATTTTCCTGTGATTTTCCATGATTTTTCCTGTGACTTTTCCATTATTTTCCTTTCATTTTCCCATGATTTTCCCCAAGATTTTCCCATTATTTCCCTGTGATTTTTCCATGATCTTACCATGATTTTCCCAAGATTTTTCCCCATGATTTTCCATTTTTTTCCCATGATTTTTCCATGATTTTTCTGTGCTTTTCTCATTATTTTTCTATTATTTCTCCCAAGATTTTTCCATGATTTTCCATGATTTTTTCTGTCATTTTCCCATGATTTTCCTATTATTTCCCTGTGATTTTTCCATGATCTTACCATTATTTTCCCATGATTTTCCCATGATTTTTCCTGTGATTTTTCCATGATTTTCCTGTCATTTTCCCATGATTTTCCCATGCTTTTCTCACTATTTTTCCATTATTTTTCCCAAGATTTTTTCCATGATTTTCCATGATTTTTCCTGTGATTTTCCCATGATTTCCCTGTGATTTTTCCATGATCTTACCATTATTTTCCCACAATTTTCCCATGATTTTCCCATGATTTTTCCATTATTTTCCTGTCATTTTCCCCATGATTTTTCCCAAGATTTTACCATTATTTCCCCATGATTTTTCCATGATTTTTCCCAACATTTTCCCATTATTTCCCTGTGATTTTTCCATGATCTTACCATGATTTCCCCAAGATTTTTTCCCATTATTTTCCCAAGATTTTTTCCCATAATTTTTCCAGGATTTTTCTGTGCTTTTCTCATTATTTTTCCATTATTTTTCCCAAGATTTTTCCATGATTTTCCTATCGTTTCCCATGATTTTTCCCAAGATTTTCCCATTATTTTCCTGTGATTTTTTCCATGATCTTACTATTATTTTCCCAAGATTTTTCTCATTATTTTTCCCAAGATTTTTCCATGATTTTCCATGATTTTCCATGATTTTCCTATCATTTTCCCATTATTTCCCTGTGATTATTTCCATGATCTTACCATTATTTTCCCAAGATATTTCCCATTATTTTCCCAAGATTTTCCCATGATTTTTCCTGTGATTTTTCCATGATCCTACCATGATATTCCCAAGATTTTTTCCCATTATTTTCCCCAAGATTTTCCCGCTGGTGGGGTCGCCGCAAATCCCAAGGAAGCCAAAAACTGCCAAGAAAAAGTGAGGAAAAACCAGAAAAAAAACCAAAAAAAAAATTGGGGAAAAG